AGAGAGACAGAGAGAGAGAGCTGGTTTGTCTGTGTTCAGCTGTCATCATGAGCATAATTCAGTGTCATGCCATACATTCTTCAGGGAGAGGGTATTCCTAAATTGGAGATGGGTTTACCTTCATTAGACTGCCCCCCCCCCTCCATTAGCAGGTCTGGGCATGTTTGCAGACTACACACTAACACACCTTTGTTGGTGTATTCGAGGATTAATCTGTGGTATGAGTACTTCAGGAAGACATTGAGTTGTCTCAGAGGTTATATATAGATAGTTCATTTCTTTCTTTCTTTATTTTTTTTCTGAGTTTATTTATAGTTCCTGGCAGTTCCCTCTTCTACTGATCCAGCTGAGATAAAACTGTTTCAGCGCAGAGCGGCCTTGTGATCGATGGCATGTTCTAAGTATGCAGTAAAAGTGCGAGTCTGCTCATTGGTCACGCTCGCTGCGTTTCAGGGAATTTCAAGGAAGGTTTTCCTGTTAATAACCGTTAAATGAATGCTGGACTAATGACGTTTCCTTGAATCTTTGGCTTTGGAGTTACATGAAAGCAAATGATTAGTGCGATAGATTTAAATGAAAATGAAAAAAGAAAACTAGTTCTGTAGCAAACCTGCATGTACAGCCAAGATATAGTAATATTTCATGAGCTCCTTTGTTTTCCAGTGGCCATAGCTGTCCTTATCTACCCTCGTAATGTGTTGACATTGGATAACTAGTGACTTTGAAAGTCTGCTGTAAATTTTTACCATGCAACACACCCATTCGTAGAAGTCTACTGCTATTGAAAAAGGGGCTAGGACTCTTATAAAGAACAAACCTCTGAGCGGCAGCCATATGTCCAGTAACACCTGGTGAGAGCCACTTCAGGTACCAGAGTAAAGGGGGATATTTTGTGTCTTTTCAGGGTGAGTGTAAAGTTTTTTTAATATGAATGAATTTTTTTGTTTTGTGTGACATTATGTGGCATGTTGTGTATGCCTTCCTCTCTACAGTTCTTGACCTCACTGGAGCTGCTGTGACTGAAGTTTAGGGACTGACAAGATGCGTTCCAGTGTGGAGGTACCACCGATCCCCCTTGGCAGAGGAGGAACTGGAAGCAACAACAACAATAACAACAACAACAACAGCAGTGAAAACAGTGGAAACTCAGGTTCCCAGTATGCACTATGTGCTCTCGGGGTTGGGCTTATTGCCCTGGGCATTGTGATGATTGTGTGGAGCGTGGTGCCTGCAGACCCGGCCAGTAATAGCAGCAGCTCAGGCGGGCAGGGGGACGCTGGCGGCAGGAAGAATAAAGCGTCTTCCGTGGCGTTTGTGTTGGTGGGATCTGGGGTGGCCATGCTGCTGCTGTCCTTGTGTGTGGGAATGAGGAACAAACAGCGGGAGCAGCTCCGGGAGGCCCAGAACCGTGCAGCTAGTGCGCAGGGCCAAAGAGAAACGTGAGTACAATGACAACAATATTTAGCAATAAATCCATGTATCTCTGAGATGACTGCTTGCTGTTGTTGTGTCTATGAGCAGGGAATTGATTTAAGCATGTAAAACAAATAATCTTGTGCCTGTGAGAAAGATTTGCTGGCAGATATTATTTTGTATGTTTAAAACTTCTCGAAAGATTCCACCACATTTGACTATTATACAGGTCACTATTAGACACAGGTCATGTGCTTCTTTGAGATTCTGATATCTGAGACTTGGCTGCTTAATGTTTTAATTGGAGAAGCTAATTATCCAGATTATCCATTTAGTAATATCAATCTTGTAATTTTTTTCCATGTTGCTGGGTGGCCAACTCTCTGGTCTAGCACATATTTGATTATGATATGAGTATTTGAAAACATTTGATTATGTTGACTCTAATCACCAGTGTATGCGCTCCAGTACAGGACCTACCTGTGTACATGTAATGACTCGTGTGTGTTCTTCTACAAATGTCTGCAGTGCTGAGGAACAAGCCCAGCGTTACGCTGTACCCAGCTATGAAGAGGCAGTAGGCAGCGGCCAGTACCCTGTCCGTCAGAGCAACCTTCGCCCAAGCACCTCCCAGCTCCCTTCCTATGATGACCTGGTCCAAGTTGATGGTGTCCAGTATGAATTTGAAGGGTCAGAGGTCATGGCTCCCGGATCACAGCCTGCTCCGGCTTCCACTGCTTCCACAGCAAATCACAGGCCTGGGAAAACTAGCCGCAAGCTCCTGCCTATCAAGATCCGCAGGATTAAATCAGAGAAGCTGCACATGAAAAACATTGACAACTCTCAGCCAGCAGCTGGAATCAGTATAGAACCACTTACTCCACCACCGCAGTATGAGGATAAAGTGCCTCCTATTTAAGATCAAGCTGATCGTGTTTAAAACAATGTACTGAAATTCCTGGAACTGTCTCGGAGGTGTCTCTGATTACCTTCGTGGCTCTGGATCTGCCTTGTGAAGCCGAGACTTGAAGGTTCTTGCAGAACATTCTCGGTGGCACTTTGTTATAAAATACAGCACCTGTTCAAATTCATCGTTCACTCCAAAGCTCTGAGCAGAGACTCTCACTGGGTCTCTGATACAGATGGATATTGCCAGGCGTAGTTCCTGGCTCCTTCCTTACAGTGACGCATTCTGTCACAATGTGACACATTGGCTTAAAAATACACAGCGACTGCAGTTTCCTTCATGTCAAAGCAGTTTTCTGTCTATGAATTGTCTTTATGTAACTGACTGCCCGTGTGAGGTGACGGTGGAAGAGATCATAGGACACCAATGAGCGGTTGTAGTGAGGATTTGTTTGCACACTTAAATAGATATGTGCAGGGCACTCATCTTGTGAAGTAGCTGCAGTTTGGTGTTTTACCCTGGAGGATCACTACTGCCGGTGGTTTACCAAATGTAGACCGAGTGACTGAGCGCTGTGTGTACTCTCCTGGACTAGCCTGATGTGGTAAGCTACACTGAAACTCTCCCCCATTGTCAAAAATATTGTCTCTCCTGTTCCCCTAGAGCTTGTCAGCTAATGGGAGACAATTTTGATAAGTGTTGATCGGTGTTGGAGAGAGTTTATACAGAGCTGGAGTCCTGTCCCACTTCTATGTTAGATACTGTTTCACTAGTTTTTGGTTCAGAGGGTTTTCTTTACATATTCTAAGATGGGGTTTTGGACCGCACCATTTAAGAATCCTCTATATTTACCCAAGACAAACAAATCCTTGTTAGCATTTATCAGCTACAGTTCCCATGACTCTTAGCCATAGGCACTTTACCAAAACCTAATGGGAAATGTAGCACTATTTGTAAAATGCTAACACAATATCTTTTGTTTTATCTTGGAATGTTACTGCCCAATGTAGGTGTATATTTAGAGAACACTAGTTTAGTTTCTCATTAGAAAGACTAATGAATAAAGGAAACCCCGTACAGTACATGGTCTGGCCAAGGGCAGTGGAAAGGGCTAGCTTTAAAATGGGATGGGACATCAACTGTTCATGATGTCAAGGTTGTGCATATTTCTTTTCTGTGTCAGTAAATCAGTAAATGTATGCATTTAGAAACAAGGCCCTAGTATGCTGTCAGGTTATCGTTTGGTCATGGTAAGCATGCCATTGGAGTTGTGTTTCTGGCTAACAGACAAATGAAAGTCCAAATTTCACTTGCTTTTTAGCTCTGGTTATGATTCCACTGCCTCCCGAGAGATAGCTGGGTCTTTAGCCCGCTAAATGCTAAACTCTCCTCACTATGAAGTGGTTTACTTTGGTCGTGGATGCTTTGGGCTAGGCAGGGAGCCGTCGTCATGTCTCTAGAGACTCAACCATAGAGTCTAAAGGAGAGAAGGGGAGGGTGCTGTTATGGATTTTATAGCTGAAATTTATACTTATACTTACTAGTGCTGCACTAATGGTCACCATTAAAGGTCACCATTGGTTTACTTTACTAACTACTGCTTTCCAGGAAGATGACGGTCTCATTTCATGAAGTATTTAAGGAGTGGTAAAGCAAACTGTTTCTGAGTTTTCCCTCAGGTTGTACACACTAGTACTAAAGTGCCTTTGTGTTCCTAACATTTCAATGGATATTATAAGACTGAACCTGAGCTCTAATGCTGCTTTCCCAGTGCAGTGTTGGTTTTACTCTGTGTGAGAGCATGGTGAACGGAGCTTGTGAATAGTTGAAAGCCTCTGCCCTGTAGCCATGGTGAACACTGTTGAGCTGTGAAGGCAGTAGTGTAGTGTTTTTTTTCTTACTCGAGATGACCAACAGAAAGACTCTTTGACTGTGCAGCTGCGCCATAATAACAGCAACTATTGCTCAATGGTTTGCTCATCACCATTCCTCCAACCACAGCTTGACTCGCTGCCCTGCTTTCATTTTGACATATGCAGACAGCTCTACGCTCTGTTCAGGGAAATGAGTGCCATCACCATATATTATTTTATCTATACCTTCAGGTTAGACTCTCTAAGATATGAACAGCTGAAGCCAAATGGAAGGAGTTGTCACCGACAAACATTACGCATTTTGTGAAAAATAATTGCACAACAATTTTTTTTTGTCTTGTGGGACTAAAATAACTTTTCATTAGTGACTTCATCACCCAGCTCTACACTGTGCACTTTAAGTAAAACTCAGTGTAGTTAATGCAGAAAAGCTACTCAATCATTGTCAGGTTTTCTGTCCAGCAAAATGCAACAAGGTCACTTCAGGTTTGTCATTGTAATTCACAACAGCTACAGTGTGTCCACATTTCTCTGACTTGTTTTTGAAATTAAAACTCGCCACACAGTTTATAAATTCTTTGTTTTTTTTGCTCTGTTTAGTGCTGCAGACATTGTACCTCATTTGCATAGGACCAGTTAACTACATGATTGATTTTATTACTATGTAGTGTTTGTAAGTGTTTTACAGTGATGGAAACATTGAGTGTTTGGATTTAGCAGTCAATTCCTGTTTTACATACTGTAGATGAAACGTGCAGTTTTGTTGTCAGTTTCATTTATCATTGCTTTGTATTACTTAAATCTACATTTTTATTTTATATGTACTGTGAAAATGTCCTTTTCTATGATAACTCTATTTTCTATTTCTATTTTCTTGAGTAAAAACAAATGTATCTCATGGAAATTTTATGAGAAATAAAGTGTTTGTTAATTAACCTAATGTTTAAGGAGTGTATTTTGATGTGCTCTGAATAATTGTGAGTATAAAATTTTGACCATCCATATTTTCTAACTTTGTTACTGTTCACCAATTCTTGGTTAATATGCAGCTGTAAGGTGAGTGAAACATCTGGGGGCTATCTAGTTGTTACAGCCCTGCATGGCCAAGTTAAACAAAGGGCTGTTTTTAACTGTTTAGGACATGGACAGTACTTTAGCTTAACATTAACATGTATTCCACTCGTTTGCACTGCTCAACAACATTTACCTTGTACTTTGCAGTAAAAAAAACGAGACAACACATTATAAATCATAGTTGTTCTTATTGCTGACCAAAGCACCTGAATAGCTTCTTCAGTAGTTGGTCATAACCTGCAGAGTAAACAACAGAAAAACACAATTATAATCCCCATCCTGTTTTTGAAAGCCAAGGCTTTTGTTAGCTTCAGGTTGCATTGTTTATGCTGGCAAGCTCATCATAAAATGAAAAAGTTCCTCACTGTGTTCATCCAGTGTATGTAGGAGCTGACTTGTGTAAAGACTGTGGGCTTCTGGAAGACGTTGCAGCCCTGACCAGAACCGAAGCTCACCACGCCGTGGACGTCCCAGGAGCCATCAGGGTTCTGGCAATTTAGGGGGCCACCGGAGTCTCCCTGTGGGGTAAGCACACACGCTGTTTGCTAGTATGTATACAATTACAACAGACCTTTCACAACATTTCATTGTAAATCTTCTTTTCTTGACTTTTCCCTCAATCTTCTATCCAAGTTACAAGGTCATTTATTAATTCAATTCAGTCATTAAAAAGATACAAGGTTGCACAACAAAAAGAAAGTTGTAGTTCCTTCATGCTACACACAGAGAACATGTCACATAATTAAGCAAGGACAACATAAAAAAAATATATAGAGTTATTTATATACGTATACACCTGTGCTAGATGGAGATGTAACAGATTAAATAACTGATAATAATGGTAACTGATAATTAAATTATAGTTGCAATTTAAGATGAACTCACGTTACACCCAGCAGTGATGCCGTCCCCTCCGGCACACACCATCTTGTCTGTTGCCAGGACGCTCCACCAGTCGGGCTGTGAGCAGGTATCATGGCCAACCACTGGCAGGAGAGCCTGCTGCAGGATGTCAGCCGGAGGGCCGCTGGCTGTAGGGGAAGAAACACGCTTAAATCGGGTAAGAAAAGATAATGCTTTGAGGGAGGTTTCAGGGGACAGGTGGGGTGCTGGATGGAGATAAAGTTTGCTGTTACAGATGGTGTCCAGGGTATGGCTAGTACTACCAAAGTCTCCTCTCAGTTGCAACTTCTAACGGAACTTAAATACAGTCCACTGGTAGTGTATGCCCTAAAATTGCAGTCCGGTTAATAATAGTAATAGATAATAGTATCCCTATTCTTTAATCTTTAAATGGATAGGCGCGCCCCGGTCTCTCCCCTGGTAAAGCTGGGCCCTTGCTGAATGTCACCCCCCTCCCCCCTGTCTGTCTCTCAAGATGTGCTGTCTAATAAAGGGAAATAAAGCCCCAAAAATATATTTAAAAAGTATACATAGATAACCAATTGTGGACTCTTTGATCGTTATAAATATTGTAGGGAAATCACTGTTGGACAATTTCATCCAAATTGTAGAACCATGAATTTATGTATCCCAGCCCTTTTCTTTTTCTTCTTTTTCTTTTTTTTTTTACAAAAATCTCTTAAATTGATCATTGGTAGCTGCAGTAGGAAATGAATCCCTGTCCTTGGTATAATTAGGTCTCTGCTCATTTAGCAGGCTGATTGTTATGTCCCATTTTTCTGTCCAGTTAAAGGTTGTGAAATTCTTTGACCTCGATATTTGACCTAAATTGACTGACAGGTGCAGAGACATCTTCTAGACACCATTAAGCTAGGGTTTATTAAGTCCAAGATGGAAATTTGTAACGTGGATTCACAGTGCATTCATTCTGCTGGGTGTGTGTTCACTCACTAGAGAGTCGACCCCAGCCGGTGACATAGCAGGGAGCGCCGTGGGGAAGGACGACGCCCCGGTCTGGGATGCAGGCGGGCGTGATTGTGTCAGAGAAGGTGACGGGGGAAGACAGCTTGATCAGGGCAATGTCGTTACTGCAAAAGGCAAAACAGTACGTGCACTTTTAGGAAGTAATGTAATGATGAAATGAAAAAAGGCATATGCTATGGTTTATGTTTTCGTTGTTTTGATGCATCAAATACCAGTTCACTGATGACTGATACTCTGCTTACACACAGTGACCTGCTTTTGGACTGATGAGGTGATACTGAGCTGTGTGGGAGCCTGTTGCTGTTACCGGCTTAGCATGGTGTTGTAGTCCTCATGAGTGATGATTGTAGCTGCCCTCCGAACTACTGAGCCCTCCTCGCTTGTCTTCAGGCTGTGTTTACCCAGCTCCACTCTGTAGTTGTAGCGGTCACTGTGGTATGGAAAATGACACGTTGTTTCCGTGGGGGGTTTAGACAGTTGTACTGACTTTTTTGCACTGTGATTCAGCTGATGGCTTAGCAGTCCTGTAGAGGCAATGCATGGCTGTTCTTTTCTGTGTTTGGTCAGGCATGGCAGCCATTGCTCCTGATTTTTGACAAACTAGCCGTAGCCTGCGCTTCTGTTCATTCCCAAAACCAAGAGCCCTTACAGTCACAGACAAAGCAAAACACATAATTTCCTGTTAGGCAGAGGAGTATTTCTTGGCACAGACCTTTGGTTTGGTTTAGTAAATATGAATACTTTCATGAACTTGAAGCACTTCTGAGTGTGAATCATCATCAATTTACAAATTTGTTTATTCCTACTCTGACTACTCATATACATATTTGTATACAACAAACAACTATGTTCAAAAACTTTCCCACCCTTGGTGAACGATCCTTTTTAAAAAGAACATGTTGTATTGTAATTTGTATTATATTGACAACCTTCCCACAGAGTTGGGTTGAACATACTTGATGCAGTGTGCAGCAGTGAGGACCCAGTCAGAAGAGATGAGGCTGCCTCCACAGACGTGCCTCCAGCGCCCACTGCTGTCTGACTGGAGCGAGATCTGAGCAGAGCGGGCAGAGGACAGCGAGCATTACTACACATTAAAATGTCACTCCAACACCCTACAAATCCATTTTATCTGTCATCCCTCTATATCTGCTCTGGGGGAGAAACCATTATCAGAAGTTACCAGAAGACTCAGAGAGTGAATATATAAAAAGAGGTGTCACTTTTTTCATCTGTCGTGATAAATGAAAGTGTTGTGTTCACGCTGTTCTGCAGTTGTCAGACTGAACATGTTTGCGCATTTAGAGCGGACCTTACCTGCCAGGGCCAACTGTGAGGCTTGACGTCCTCCCCTGCCACCACCCTGCTCAGCACAGGAAGGAAAGTGGGAAGGCCACATCCATATGCTGGGATAAGATTAGTAATGTATATTGTGATTTTTGCACCAGACTATACATTTAAAAAGTAGATCACTGTTTTGCTGTGGCAAGTTTTGGATTAAATATAGGCAAGAATGAACATCTGGATTCAGTGAAACTTAAACAATTAATATCTTTAAAAACAAATTTGATTATTAGCGGTCTTTGCAAGACTAATATGGGACTCTTCATCTTGATTACACTACAGCAAATGACTTTCAAGTAACTTATGTGAGAAGACTGAAACTGTCTTACCGCTAGCTATCAGAAAAGTGAGAAGCACCAGGCTCCTCATGATTGTAGAGTATGTGGTGTAAGCCCAACTCTTGTGTTAAGAAGAGGCTTGTATTTATACTGTATGTTAGCAACTTCTAAGCAGTTAATAGACTGTCCTGGGAAACCTGTCTGACACGTCCAGAAAGACAAACAACTGAGACTGAGGACACAGCATGTGGTTGGTGATATGTTTTTCCCATCACTACACCCATTGGGGAGCATTGGATTTGCTATTTAAGTATCCTTGATAATACTTAAAAGATGATATATTTGTCAGAATAAAATTAATTGAATATTTAGCTTTACTCCTCATTTGTGGGATTCAGTTATCCTTTACTGCTTTTCATATTATTGGGGAAGCTGATAACTCAATAATTAAAAGATAAGATTGTACAAAAGACAACATGCTACAAAATTGTTTAATATTTTATTTATTATTATGTGCACACTGTGGCTTTGATCTCGAAAGCCCATCCTCTTAATAGGCCACCATTTTCTGTGGAAGAGATGATAGAAACATGTTAGATTTAGTGCATCATGTTTTCAGCAATAACACATGGGACATATATATACAGCATATATATATATATATATATATATATATATACATTTTTAAACTGATCTTTTTTTACTATTTTAATCACTGAAACCCACAGATAAAACAGCAATTATAGTTTTCATAACTTCAACCTCTGAAGTGATTTAGCGAGAGGTTCAGGAGCTTACAGAGTTGATCCAGTCGATGTAGGAGCTGACTTGGGTGAAGACGGTGGGCTTCTTGGGGAAATTGCAGCTGAGGCCGGAGCCAAAGCTGACGATGCCGTGAACCTCCCAGGTACCAGCGGCATTCTGGCAGTTCAGAGGGCCGCCAGAGTCACCCTGATTCAAGTGACAGCAAACATATGATCAGTGTGCAAATTCCACATGTAACTGTAAATAAAGTCAGTGAGCGTGCTTAGTGTTTACATCTAACATAACTTAAGATACTTTACAGACATTGCTCTGAAATACTGAATGTACTAAATGAAAAAAGGCATTTTAGGAGACATAGTTTTCCGATTTTTTGGGAATGGCATACAGTTAAGAAGAAAAATCTCAGTTAAAGGACTAAAATGTACTGGAGCAGAGTACTCTTGTTACGGTCGATCAATTCATAGATTATTTTCCCTATTAATCAATTACTTGTTTGGTCCATATGTAAAAAAGAAAAAATGCCAATCACAATTTCCCAAAGCTGAAGTTGACATTAAAGTGGTTGTTTTGTCTGACCGTACAGTACAAAAAAAAAAGAAGACTAAGAAAACCAGCCAATATTCACATTTGAGGATCTGGAACCAGTGAATATCCTGTAGTTTTTTTTAGAAAATGCCATGAACACTTCAACACTATCAAAATAGTTGCTGATTAATTTTTTAATGTTAGACACAGAAGTGAATCAATGTGTGTGTCATTAATTATTTTAGACTCACGTTGCAACCAGACACAACTCCATCTCCACCTGCACAGACCATGGTATCCTTCACTTGAGGACCCCACCAGTCAGGCTTGGTGCAGGTGGCGTGGTCCACCACAGGCAGGAGAGCCTGCTGCAGGATGTCAGCAATGGGACCTCCGGCTGTGTGGAGGACAGATGAATACAAATTCAGCTTGGGTAAAAGACTGGTGAGACATGTTTCATCAGACTATAGCCCTGAGGAAAACAGTCTGGTTAGAAAGGTAAATAAATATTGTCCGTCCATCCTGTCATATTTCTACAACAGTTACAGCTGCAATAGCTTTTAATTTCAGAGTAATTGACCACTCTGCAGTAAAACGAAATATAGCCAGTATCTAATTAATTTAACTAGAGCAACAAAAACATATTTTAAATAACTTTGCTTGTAATTAAATAATTTATCTTCAGTATTTCTGTCAGATACTGTAACTAGTATTGTATTTGATTATAAGCCAAGTAATAGATCAGTACATCCACCTTAATAGCTATAGAGCTCAAATACTAAGATAATACTGTATACAGTATACTGCAATTTTTTATTATCAAAACTGCAGTAAAGAATGTTTTCTCCACTGCAACTGCCTGACTTCATGTTACACACAGTAAACTGATTTTGTCTCAAAGTGAGGGAGGAGACTGTGCACTCACTGTAGAGGCGACCCCATCCAGTGACGTAGCAGGCCTTGTTGTGGGGGAGGATGAATCCAGCAGTGGGCAGACAAGCAGCCATGATGGTGTCAGAGAAGGTGACAGGGGACTCCAACTTGATCAGGGCAATGTCATTACTGCGAATGACACACACACACACACACACACACACACACACTTAGATTCACTATAGACTTACAGCTTTAATTTTTACAGTAATTATCTTTAACTTTTTGGTGTTCCGTAAAGTCATCACCAAATTCTTAGTGAGATGCAACTTTGTACCGGATGAACAAGGGGTTCCACTTCTCATGCACAACGATGTTTGCGGTGCCCATGAACACAACACCCTCCTCAGTCTGGACCAGGTTATGCTTTCCCATGGCCACTCTGTACTCCCTGCCATTGCTGCACATTGACAGAGAAGAATATGAAGCAGTGACAGATGAGTTCACAGATCCTTTTCAAACATTGCATTTCTAGATTCTTAAGAACAATCGCTAGCCAATTAGTCAACCATGTTTTCAGATTCTATAAATGGTCCTAAAGTCCTAAAAGTGAAAAAAAAAAATGTGATAGTGAGCTGAGATAATTTACCCATCACTTTACTATTTACTAAATAATTTCCCCATATAATTAACTGCAAATTTATATTTATTGATTATTCCATATACCATGATATAGATGTTTGTGTCAGTGCATCCTGATTTGTATTAGCTAATTTGTCTCATACCTGATACAGTGAGCAGCAGTGAGGACCCACTGGTCAGAGATCAGAGTACCTCCACAGGTGTGTCTCCACTCTCCTTGTCTGTTGTACTGCAGGGAAATCTAAAACACACAACACAATTAATCTAACTAGCCTTTTTTGTTTGTTTCTCTTCTTCTACTTTTTTTTTTACTAATAAAAAATGATGTATTTTCCCAGTTATTGTCCTTTAAACATTGTTCTAATGCATGTATTTGTCTTATGTAAAGCACTTTGAATTAAATATTTTCTGTGACTCCACATTACTTAATATTGTGAGAGTTTTAGTGTCTACGGTACTCACATATTTCTCTTTAGCTATAAGCCTTTAATTTACTCTGTTGAGGTCTGCAGTTTAAAATAAGTCTTTTTCACACAGTTGATGTCTTGTTTTCTGAGGCAAACTCTTCCCAGCATGCTTTACCTGCCAGGGCCAGCTGTTAGGCCTGACATCCTCTCCTCCAACCACCCTGCTCATCACAGGGGGGAAGGTGGGCACGCCGCACCCATAGGCTGAGGGGACAGACAGAGACAGATTCTTTTAAAATTGTGAACAGATGTACACATATAAACATTTTCATTTTGTAGAGAAATACAGCATGTGAACATGGCTCAAGACAGACGGTTTTAAGAGTGTTGTGTGTGCTTACCACCAGCCACAAAGAGAGCAAAAATGACAAACTTCATCATGTCTGTATCTCCACAGCTTTCAGCACAGCATCCAATTTATTTATACCTTTCATGATGTTACGCAACCTTCAAATTCTCTGATATTTTCCCTTTGACAAATCATAACTCAGGGGTGGAGCTAATGGGACATGAAAATGGCCAGAAATTACTAGGAATACTAGGCCAAGGCCAAAGTGTCGTGGAGTTGTGTGATGTATAATTTTGAACTTGTTTGTTGAACGGGTCAGTGGAATGAAGGGTTTTTAGCTTTTATCATAAAGAGTGGGAGTTGACACAAAGAGCCTCGCTCCCTATCAGATGAAGCCCTCCCTACTCTGATTCCCTTTACAAAGAAATGTTTCACCTCCTCCAGGAGCTAAAGTTTCCATTGCCTGTGAAAGCACTGAATGTTTCCTGTGACTGTACTGTATTACATACATACAATTGAGCAGTGCAAAGTTATTAATGCAGTGTAATACTAAAATCCCACTTACCTTGCATGTATCTACATAAAAAAAGGACTGTTAATAAGGTTGTTCTCCACTAACCAGTTGACTAAATATGTGATTTTACATAATGTAAATGTCAGCACTGGTGCAAAAGAAAAATCTATGCCTTTCATAACCAGGTACCCATTGAGGAATACCACTAGACTACAACTGCAGAAAACATTTTTTCTCCAAAACTGCTGCAATAAATGTTTATAAAATATGAACATTAATTATACACCTTCAAAATTATATGTAATTCTATCAATTACATCTACAAAAGAAGTGTTTTATGTGTCTAAACTGCTTATTATCACTTCAAAACACTGATGTGGGATAAATTAAAATGAATTGTCTTGTCATATGCAAACATATACAGCGAGATGCAAAATTCCTGGTGCCCAGAGAAAAAAAACAGTATGTTAAAAGCCTGTGAAGATTGTGTATATTCATATATAAAAAAGGATAGTACTTTTATTTTATTTCGACTGACCATTTTCAAATGAACATATAACCACAGAGTGTGAACATCATCTCTTATATAAAGTTAAAAGACCTGAACAACTCAGGTCACTGTGAGACACCTGTGAGGTTCACACAGAGGTTGAGTTGGGGAGATAAGGTGTATTTAGGGATATCTGTGGTTGCTTATCTCCAAGGTTGATTTATTTTTCACATCAACTTTTCCTGGTCACTCTGGGGCAAATGTTAAGCAACAGGCTTCTTTAAACAGGTGTGTTAAAGCACTATATAAGGAGGAACAGGTCCCCTTGAATGTCTGCTGAAGACAGTCACCATGAAGTTCGTGATCTTGGCTTTGTTTGTCGCTGGTGGTGAGTTCTGATACTATTCGGACCAGATGATTAAAAGCGCTGCTGCACACAACTAGTCCACATTCTTTATAAGTGACGTGGTGTGGAAATTTGATATGAAGCACTGAGTTCATTGAGTTAACAGATTCACATTTTTACACTAAAATACTGCTGTGAGAATGTTTTGATATTGATATTGAAAGAATGCAGTTTTTGCATATTACTGCTGGTGTTAAGGCACAGTCATGAATCACCATATTCTGTACTGATGTTTCTTAGCCTACGGGTGTGGCTTGCCCACCTTCCCTCCTGTTATCACCAGGGTGGTTGGTGGAGACGATGTCCGTGAGAGCAGCTGGCCCTGGCAGGTATGCCACTTTAACATGCTTCTCCTTTAAATTTTGTCTTCTGTCCATTTCTTAAACATTGATGTACTGTTGTTGTTTGTCATCCTCAGGTGTCTCTGCAGTACAAGAGTGGCAGCAACTTCTACCACACCTGCGGTGGCACACTGATCTCCAACCAGTGGGTCCTCACTGCTGCTCACTGCATCGGGTATGGCTAAAAAGTTAAAGAAATCTGAATGTATTCTTACTTTTTTTCAATGGAATGATTAAAGAAAAGCTATTTTATAGACATCAGGATATAAATAATTGGTAATCCCACCTTTGTTAACACTGGCAGTAGTCCTATAGAGATATAATGGTAGTAGATGTAATTGAATTGATTATAATTAAGTGAAACATTTTAATAAAGTGTTCTTGAATAAATCCCAGATCAAAGCAACACTGTTTCTGTGTTTTCTTTCTGGCCAAGCAGCAGTCGCACCTACAGAGTGTACCTGGGAAAACACAATCTGAAGACCAACAATGAGCCTGGCTCCCTGGCCATCAGCCCCTCCAAGATTGTTGTTCATGAGAACTGGGACTCTTACAGAATCCGGTAGGCTCAGTCTTTACTTTCCTCTTGCAGAGTAAATTATATACTGTTACTGTTTTGTTTACCCGTGCTCATCAACATCCTGTTTCTAATTGGGATATTCACATTCCTGCCCCAGTAACGACATCGCCCTGATCAAGCTGTCAACTCCCGTCACATTCTCCAATTCCATCATGGCTGCCTGTCTTCCCAACTCTGGCGACATCCTGCCTAACAAGGCTCCCTGCTACGTGACTGGCTGGGGCCGTCTCTGGAGTAAGTTCTACCAACTAAAGAAAAAAGAATCTGTTAACCAAGGCTGGCAACATTAATGTCCTGCTATATCTTTAATGGAGTTCAGTTTTCCTGTCAAAGTTGTGTCAGCACAGCAACTTTTTCCACTTTCCACAAAAAGTTTTCATCCACTTATGAATGGAAACTGGACCTAGCAGACCTAGTTTTGGAAGAGACTTGAATAAGGTGGTCTTGATTGCAGCCCTGAGTCTCAATGCACTGTTCTCTTCAAAAGCTGGAGGTCCTATTGCTGACATCCTGCAGCAGGCTCTCCTTCCTGTGGTCGACCACGCCACTTGCACCAAGCCTGACTGGTGGGGCAGCCTGGTCACCAACAACATGGTCTGTGCTGGAGGAGATGGACAGCTGGCTAGCTGCAATGTGAGTCTGATTCACTGTATATGACAAACGTATGTAATGTGTAATAAAAGTTCCTGTGAAACTAAATTACAGCCATACACTCAACATTTGTCTATGTTCCCCTTTAGGGAGACTCTGGTGGTCCCCTGAACTGTCAGAACCCTGATGGCTCCTGGGACGTCCATGGTGTGGTCAGCTTTGGCTCAAGCATGGGCTGCAACTACCCCAAGAAGCCCTCCGTCTTCACTAGGGTCAGCGCCTACATCTCCTGGATCAACAACGTAAGTGAAGCCAAGTCATAAAAAACAGAAAGACCTGGACAGCCATTTGTTTGTGACTATTGCGTGGCTTCTAATATCAGCATTTTTCATTTGTTGCAAAATTCTATTATTTTCCAGAAATGATACAAATTATGAAATACCACTGTAACAGTCATCTCCATTAGAATTTTAACTATTCAGTAACTCAGAACAGTATGGTGGAATGTGATAGAGAAGTACAGATGTTCTAGTGTCCTCTAGTGGAGCATTTTAAAACATTTCATGCGTTCCTTTTGTTTTCCAGGTGATGGCCAGGAACTAAGATGTGGATCGTTTGTGTTAGTGCTGGTTTGCACTTCAACATCAAATAAAGAATGTAGTGGTTAATCTAATGTCTTCTGTGTTTTCTTAATAGTATTTATGTGTTTGTTACAAACCTTTCACAAAAAACCCATCAGCTAAAGCCTACACTACACTTTACACGTTTTTTATTACAATTACTAAAAATCCAAGTCTTAAACTGAGTGTACTGTTTTATCTGAACTAGTGATTTTCAGCTATAGTCATATGTTTAGTCATGGGCCATCTCCTTAGTTAAATGCCTGTAATGCAAAAGGTCTCACTTTGGCAAATGATAAGGCTCCCTGACTGCTGTAGACACACAATTTTAGATTCCCCAGAGAATAGAAATTGAGTGTGGGGTTCATGCTATCTTTAATGTGTGTTACTGTGATGGCCACTACTTACACAAATTACACCTGATTAGTAATAACCACCTTTTAAACTTCCAATAACACCTGGTGTTAACAACTGAAAGTAAACTAACAAAAATATACTTTGGGATCATTTCAACATACAGTTATCAAGACAATGCACCCAAACATACAACTCTGCACACAGAGAAACATGATCAATTCTTCTCCTCGTGTCTTCCTGTTAGTCTTTGTCACATGGCCTCCATCTCCTCTTTTACAATCACTGGAATACCGGTCTTAATGTTGGTGAGACCCGCACACAGCGTCACAATGTCATCCAGGAGATCTACCTGGCTGATGGGTATCACAGTGTTGAGTATCTGAAAGGTTTTAAGAGACTAATCACTCGCTCCATGCGGATGTGGACATTGCATACCTGTAGAAAACTCAAACAATGTGGTCTTAATTGCTTCAGGTGATACAGTGGCTCCAGAACTCTTCCATTCCCAACTCTTTCTGGTTCACTCTTCCTGTGAATTACACAACCAGCCTGAGATAACACTGCACGATATCAAAGTGGAATACACCAAACAAACATGGAAAACGTTCTAGTGGCTAAGAAGAACATGGTCACAGATTAAATGACAAAAGCACCAACCTTGCAGTTCCCCGTGCGGTCTTCTGGACGTTGTGGTTAAATATAGAGGGTACAAAATCTGGGCTGTCACAGTCCATTGATGGCTTACCTGATATAAGAAGATGTTCATAAACCTAAAATTTGTAACAAGTGTGATACAAAAGAGCAGAGATGGGTCATATGATAACATATACGATGCAACTATATTAATTTGTAAAGATCTTGCAATATTGTTTATACCGTAGTAGCTGTCAGCGCTCAAAATGTAGGATGTCCCGTTGTTCCGGGGACAACAAAAATAGCACCTGGGACACAAAGAGACAGTGTCTGTGACAATTCTGACAGTAGAGAAATGTATCACTATGTGTGTCATGGAATATATATCATTTTAATTGTTCGATGTTAAAATTCAAAAGATTGTGGCACTGACACAAGGTCAACGCTACGTCAGATGAGTATTTACACACAGAAAACCAATTATAGAGAAAGAGCCAAGGTTGCCAACATGGCAACTTTCTTGCTGCATTTAGCAACTTTCCAGACCCTCTTAGAGACTTTATTTCTCAAAATATATCTGGCAACAAATTAAGTGGCTTATTCAGACCAAAAAGGGGAGACATATATTCAAGTATATTATATTGTAATTAATTTCCATGCATGCTGCTCAGAGTCATTGCAGTCTACAGCTCTTCTGCACACAGTTCTGGGGTCTCTCCCTCTCCTCTTGTGCTGTGTGCAGGATCTCTGTTGCTTTAGCTTTTATGTAAACTGCTTGTTTGAGCTTGTAAATATTGAAATAGTTTATTTGATCTTCTCACTCCCTTTGTATTTGTTTTTTTCTTTTTTACTTCAAATAGTCAGTGCAGTGAGTTTCTGATTATTTGGCTGAATAATAATAATGTTAATAGTCTGTATCGTCCGTAGCTGGAAGGGATGTTTCCTTCTTGGGATATTGAACATTTTCCACCCATCACTAGTTGGACTCGATCAGTTCACAGCACAACCACTCCGTGTCATGTTGTTCTCACAATAATGTTCACACACTGCCTCACTTTCATTTTATTTTGGGCCACATACCTGCGCGCGCAACCTACGTCTTCTTCGTCTCCTTTCCCAGCGTCTTCCTCGTTGTGTTCTGGTTGTGTTTACTGGCGGACCGCATCCAACTCTACATACGCATACCGCCGCCTGCTGTATCGGAGTATGTAGCGTCCTGTCTCTAAAGTATATAAATAATAATACAAGTTTGCTGTCTTTATCTCTATTCTGCTCAGAGTGAGGGGAAGCATTGACAGTATATATCGAAGAAAAGGGGGGAAGCTGCTAAGGGGGGCTCATGGAGGACAGCAGTAATCATGTTAATCCTAAATATAACCCATCAAATCTTATTTTGACCCAAAATACTCACCATTAGTTATTAAAACAACTAAACCAAACATTTAGTTTAGGCTATTGTTGCTTTAGTAAAATGTATTTTATATTTATTTATGTACTTTTTATCTGATGCATGTGTTTTTTTGGTATGTTTGAGTGAATTTGCATGCCTTGCCAGCACCTGGCACATAAACTGGGATACCAGAAAGTAAAAGAAAAGAGATGAAACAGGGCTTTAGATCCAAATAATAATGTATTGGCCAACTTTTTCAATCAGCTCAGAAACTGGCTCCAAGCCTGCTTAAAAAGCCAGGAGGCTAATGTTACTAGAAAAAGAGGTAGCTAGTGTCAGTGAAGGAGCCACTACCACAAAGACAAATGAATTACAATTGCATTAATTGCAGATAATATAAATACTCTGATGTCCCATTCATTATTATCACTACAATGGGGTTCATTCAAAGACCTGTGAATTTCTGTTTTCTGCTTCTCTTGCAGTTTCGATGTTGGCCGCTATGCCACAATTGCTGTCTAACCTGTCGCTGTTCAGGAAACGCTCCTCTGTCCGACCGTTAGCGAGGAAGAAATTAGTCGCCATCTTGGATGACCTATTTGTTGTATGGAGTTTAGAGATAGTTCTGCTCAGAGTCTTTAGTGTTTCTGTTTCTGTGACTGTACACACACACACACACACACACACACACCTGTTTTCCAGGTTACATGTCGTTGAGAAGTGTACCTGCCCTCCGGTAGGTTAGTTTATTTAATATTCGTTTTTTAAGCAACTTTATTATCACCAAATGTTTATAATAATGCTTCTTTTGAAAAGCCACTCTGGTTAAACGTTGTAACTTTGAAAGTTGTCAAGATAACTCAGATTTTAATGATTCACCTGTAATACAATCCTTTCGATAATACTTTGATTAATTTTGCAGCCCTACCACCATTGCAGTGACATTTCATCTGTCAGTCTGCTCACAAAAACCTCCACTTTTGTGACATTTAACTTTTTGCCTTTTTTTGTACAGCTGCAGGACATTGTTATAGTTCAAATAGTCATAAACAACCTACTGTCAAAATGATGGGCATGTGTAAGTAAGATGCATCTTTAACCAGGTCTGTTAAATTCAGACCTGGTTAAACATTTAGTGACAACGTTAAAGCTATTATAAGAAGGATAATTCTGCATACAAGCTACCATTAGAGGTCAATTTCCCTTTTTCCAGGTCATACCAGGTCTGATTACACATATACAGTATCTTTGGGCCATTTAACTCTGGATTGCAAAGTCAGTGTATTGTGCTCCTGCTGCAGCATTTAGACAAGATGAGGGCCCAAAGCTTCATTTATTTCCTAAGTAAAATAAAATTCATAGCCTCTTTTGTAGACTGAAAATTCTGTACTGTATGTATCCATACGTAAATTGTGATGCTGTGAGGCTATATGCAGGTACAGCTTGTGTGCACAGTTATAGGTAAGAGGACAAAATAAAAACAAATTCTGAGGATGTCAGTGGCATTTGGGGGTGTGAGGTAATTGAACCTGTTTTAAATGAGCACTTTGGATCCATGCATCTCCTTTCTAATTGTTCTGCTTAACAGATAACCCTTTGAGTGTATGACTGGTGGAAATACTTTGTTGTTGTGATAGTTTATGTATTCAGATCAGCTGATGAGTTTAAAAGATGTAATGAGGTTACAGAGGAGGCTGAAGAGCTAGTAGAGGCTTTGTATCAGAGCAAACCGCCTCTTCATTGGAGTGAGCCTTGCAGTGAGTTTTTAAGAAATAAGAAAAATGAATGCAGTCTGCTTCAGTGTCTTTAAAAAAATGTAACTTCTGTAAAAAGTCCAGACTGGTTTTGAAGCAGTTCCTTTCAGTTTAAGACTTCTTTTCACAGTCTTTAGTCATTTGTTGATCTAAATATTTAGCTCTAAATATTTTATTTAATAACAGTGTCCCTTTTGCTCCTTTTCATCAAGTCCTATATCCCACCAGTGAATGTATGTTTGAATTTGATTTAAAACATTCATAAGTAACGTCCCAAAAAAATCCCAGGGCTCTTCTTTTTCTTTTCTTTTCCTCTTTAAAAATGGGTTTTAAATGTATATTCTGATGAAGTTTTAGCATGGTTGGTCTTATGAAGTTTTTGTTGGGTAAAAGGGTACTACTCCACACCAAAGAAAAATATTTTTAATTATGATAATTTTCTATACCCACAATGGATCACATTCCCCTGGGAACACACACACACACACACACACACACACGCACACGCACACACACATAAAATGAACAGAAACCATTATTATAACCACTTTCCAATACTATTTTTCTCTGTTACAGGTTCTTTAGTCACAACCTCAATTACTGCCCTGTCTTGTACCTGCAAAGATCTCATTTATAACCATGATGTTCCACAGTAATTATTAACAGAGAACCACGGTGCCACTATTTAGCTCCCAGGGCTCATTTGCATGTTAATTATCATTAGCAACAGAGGAAAACAAGTCATGGCAGCAACCTTAAATAAGCAACCTTATCTTTCCTCCACCATTCATATTCAGGTGACTTCCATTGTATTTCATTTTATATCACCTTGGTTGTTAACATTTTGCTCATGACCTCTATGTTAATAGATCTGATCAAGTGGCTTAATGCTTTTGGGCACTAATATCAGTCAC